GGGAGCAGCAGAGATGGTTCTTCTTGTACTGCAGCAGGGATGAGCTCCAGGCTGCCTTCATAGATGTCATTTGTCTAATTGGTCTTTGCACATCTGAGCTCTCTGAGGGCTAAATGGAATTTTGGGGTTCTTTTGTTGTGGAAGAACTGGCCTGGTGGAATTCAGCCCTTCTCAGCACCCCAGTGCAGCATCCTCGCTGCTCAAGAAGGATGCCAGGCTTGCTGGGGAACATCCATAATTCTTCTTCCTTTTCTCCCCTCCCCCCTGGCAGGCCAAGGCAAGGCACAACATCACACTGCAGTGGGACAGGGAGGTCATGGACGTGCTGGCTGATGGCTACAACCTTCACTATGGTGCCCGCTCCATCAAACACGAGGTGAAGACAAGAGGGAAGCTGGGGTGAAGTTCGTGTTGTCATCTCCAGCCCCACTGCCCAGAGAGAGCCAGAATTGGAAAGGCATCAAAAGAGAGATGGAGTCACTGGAGCAAATCCAGAGGATGTCATGGAGATGCTCTGAGGGCTGTAGCCCCTCTGCTCTGAAGACAGGCTGGGAGAGCTGGGGGTGTTCATACTGAACAAGAGAAGGTGCTGTGGAGACTGTAGAGACCCTTCCAGTGCCTATAAGGGCTCCAAGACAGCTTGAGAGGGACTTTGGACAAGGGCTTGGAGTAATAAATGAAAGGAGAATGGTTTCACACTGTGAGAGGTCAGGGTTAGATGGGATATTGGGAAGAAATTCTTCCCTGTGAGGGTGGTGAGGCTCTGATACAGATTGCCCAGAGAAGCTGTGGCAGCCCTATCTCTGAAGTGTTCAAGGCCAGGTTGAATGTGGCTTGGAGCAACCTGGTCTAGTGGAAGGTGTTCCTGCCCATGGCAGGGGGGTATGAAATGTTAATGAACTTTAAAAAGTCCTTTTCAACCCAAATCCTTCTGTGATATGATGACTGTGTGGATCTGACTGTCCTCATCTCTGGGGAGATGTCTGTGGTCTTGTGGAGGAAGTGGCACACCCACACTCTAGAGACAGAGAATAAGTGGGATGAAGAAAAGGTTGCATGATTTTGGGCTATCTGAGGGTGGGGAGGAGCTGGCCATCTCCATGGGAGACTTTCCACAGGGTTTTCCTGACAGGATCTGCTCTGTCCCTCAGGTGGAGCGGCGTGTGGTGAACCAGCTGGCAGCTGCCTACGAGCAGGACCTGCTGCCACAAGGCTGCACCCTCAGGATCATTGTGGAGGACTCTGACAAGCAGCTGCTGAAAGCCACAGAGGGGTCTTCCCCCAGCACAGAAAAATCCAAAGTGCCAACCCTGCGGCTGGAGATTGTAGAGAAGGACCGCAAAGCCCGAAAACTGGAGATCCAAGCACCGCTGAACCCCAAAAACATCACTTACTTCTTGTAGGCAGCACTGGGCACTCCCAGGGACAATAAACCCCCACAAGAGCTGGAGAGAGCAGTGTCAGCGAGGGCAGAGCCACAGCCCTGCCACTGCTGGGCATGGACACAGGCACGGACACAGATACAGGCAGGAGCTGCCCTGGGATGGGCATGCAGGGCTCCAGGGGTGCAGCTGTGGGTGACAAGGTGCCCTGGTGCCATTCAGGGATGGGGCAGTGGATGCTCCTGGGGTTTCACAGGGCGTTGGAGTTCTTTTAAGGAAGGGGGATGTAAATTGTGGACCAGGATGAAATTGTCATACCCATGGGAGTGGGCTTGCTTGGTCAGCTGGGCTGGCAAGGTGAGGGATGGGAACTGAGAGTATAAAAGCCATCAGGCACTTGCTCTGTATTGTCTGTGTTGTCCCTATTTATGGCAATAAACATGCTATGTGCGTGCAACCCTTTGTGTCCCCAGAAGGAGCAGCTGTTGAAACCACCACTCTCACCCCAGGGCACTCCTGGGTCTCCTGCTCATCACCAAGAGGCAGGAATGTCACCAAGAGTGGGGAACACCACTGGGAGCTGGGACCCACTGTCACCTCTCCCCAGCCCTGCCAGGCCACATCCTGGTGCAAACTCCTTGCTGGATCTTTTTCTCATGACCTTCTTCCAGGAAATATTTAAAATCTCAAGTGAAACTGAGCTGTCCACGTTGTCCCCATGGGGATACACAGGATGGGGGCTCCTTCAGGGAGCTGCTCATGGTGGAATAGGAGACATGGTCACTACTGGGGCCACCCCAGATGGGGTTTTGAAGAGGAGAACATTAAATACATATGGAAATCAAACCCTCCCAGGATTAATAAGCCCCAAGTCATTATCCCCTGGGATGCAGATAGGATCCCCATCCCACTGTTACCCAGGAGGGTTTGGTTCTGGTGCTGGTTCCTGTCTTCCAGGGATACGAGAAGGGTTGGTGAGGGATTCCTTGAACCGCCTTCCTATCCCAGTAGCTTTTTTCCTGATTTAATGCCAGGAGCCGGAGCAGGATCCCATCCCTGGAGGATTTGGGAGTGTCACCAGGCTCTGCTGGAGCCTCCTAAGGTCAGATTCCATTCCACAGGTGCACAAAGGTGTGCAATGAGGTCTGCATGTGTGTGCTGCCATGCCATGCTGTGTCAGGTCACACCATGTCACACCAAGCCATCCCATTACACACTGCACCACCCTCTACCACATCCTGCCACATCCCACCATGCCAAGCTGTGCCAACCCCACAGGCAGGACCAGGGCCACATGGGCCCTCCACAACCCTTTGAGGTGGTTGCTTCCACTGCCAGGAAGAGTGCCTGGGAGCATGGGATCTGGAAGAAGAATCATCTTTGGCTGTGCCTGACACATTCAGTTCCCCACTTCTGAACCTTATGCTGTCACCCAATCCAGTCAGGGCACGGGGTGCCAGCAGCGTGGGGGCTCAGCACACCCTGGAGCACTCCAGCTTTGTCCCCAGGAGCAGTGTGGCAGTGAACAGATGCCTCCAGCACCGTTGGGAGCAGCTGTGGGGCTGGGGGACCCACCAGGACCCCACATCCACATCTCAGGAGCCGCAGGGATATGGGTCCGCTCCCTGGCTGTACCCCCAGCTGCCCCCCATCCCACTCCCCTCCTCCCTCCTCCTCCTCCTCCTCCTCCTCCTCGCCCTGCCGGCTCTGCCCGTCTCTGGGTAGCACCAGCAGCTCCTTGCGTGGCAGATTGCTGCCTAATTAGTTTAGAGGGAAAACTTAATTGAATTAACTTTTCACAGCTCCAGCAGCCCGACAGTGGGGCCTCGCTCCGCGCCAGCCCCACGCCCTGATCGAATTAACTTGTTTAGCAACCTGCCCGCTTCGGCCTCGCAGCTGGGGTGGTGGCAGGGGGGACACCAGCAGCACCCACCGGGGCCCAGGGGCTCGGCCGGGGGAGCGGGGACAGAGATGAGCAGCCGGGGGAAGGGGGGGATGCTCCCGGGGAAGGGAACCCAAGAGGGAGAAGGACCCTTTGTGGTTTGAGATGTGGGGCAGAATGCAGGGCGGGCATGGGGCAGGGTGTAGGCCGGGACAGATGGGGGGCAATGGGCAGGAGATGGGGCAAAATGTAGGGTAGGACACGAGAGAAGATATGGGGCAAAACGTAGGGCAGGACACGAGAGCAGATATGGGGCAAAACGTGGGGCAGGACACGAGAGCAGATATGGGGCAAAACGTGGGGCAGGACATGAGAGAAGATATGGGGCAAAACGTGGGGCAGGACACGAGAGCAGATATGGGGCAAAACACAGAGCAAGACACTGGGCAGGATGCACGGCAGGAAATGGGGAAGGACGCAGGTTAGGACAGGAGATGGAACAAGAATATAGGGGGGAAAATGGGACAGGATGCGGGGTTGGTACAGGGCAGGACATGGAGCAGGACCGATTGGAACCGATCCCACAGGACCCAGCAGAGTCCATTCTTCCCCCACCCCCCTGGTCCCCTGGGGGACCCAAAGCCCTTCACTGGGCACAATTAGACTTTTAAATCCTCTTTAGTGAAAGTGTTTGTCTTGAAAATGTCCCAAATCCCGCCAAATCCTCCTGCATCCCCCCCTCCCCACATACCCCTCTGGTGCCGCTGAAAGGGGCAAAAGCCTTTGCCGTGGTCCCTGCAGGGGGTTGGGGGATGGGGCGCTTTGAAATTCAGCCGGGCTGAAAGGTGGGGAGGGAGATTGCAAAGGCCAGAGCCCCCCGAGGAGAGAGGGGCTGGACTGACGACCCTCCAAAGCTTCCCCCGTGCTCCCAGGCACGGAGAAGGGCACCCAGGGATAGGGCGTGGTGGCGTTGTTCCCCCTCTGTCCCTGAGATGCTCAGCCCCAGGGGCATGGCATGGCATGGCATGGCATGGCATGGCATGGCATGGCATGGCATGGCATGGCATGGCATGGCATGGCATGGCATGGCATGGCACGGCACGGCACGGCATGGCATGGCGACAGGGAGGGAGATGGGAATCAGGATGGAGACGCACACTGGATAGGACAGGGATGGGGACAGGACCGAGGACCGGGATGGGATGGGAAGGGATGGGATGTGATGGGATGGGATGGGATGGGATGGGATGGGATGGGATGGGATGGGATGGGATGGGATGGGATGGGATGGGATGGGATGGGATACCGTAGAGTGAGCATGGGGACAGGATGGCGATGGCGATGGGACAGGGTCTGATAGAAAGGGATGGGGACACGGGGAAAAGGTCCAAGCGCTGGTCCCAGAGCAGGCCCGGCCAGTGCTGCTCCAGGGGGTGCCCGGGGACCGCTGTCCCCCTATCCCAAACCCCGAAGCAGCGGCTGCCGGAGTCGGTGCGAGGCGGGGGGTGCGTGCGCCCACGAAGGGTTAAGGGGGGCGGGGGGCTGAGGGGAGGGGGGTGTCGGCTCCGCCCGCTCCCGCCGTCCCCGGGAGATATTGTCATGCAAAAGCCCCCGGCGAGCGCAGCCTTTGTCCGCGCTCCCCCCGCCGGTATATTAACGGGCCGGGGCGGCGGCGGTGGCGGGGGCGGGCGGGGGCCCGGCGGGCAGGAGGCGGCGGGGACGGGCGGGCGGGCGGCAGCCGGGGCCGCACCGGGCTCGCCATGGACTACTCCTACCTCAACTCCTACGAGTCCTGCGTGGCCGCCATGGAGGCGAGCTACGAATTCAGCCCCTGCAGCCAGGCGGGCTCCTTCCAGTACAGCCCCATGCGGGGGGGCTTCGGGCCTGCGCCCGCCTGCGCCCCCCTTACCTCCGCCAGCTGTGCCCTGGGTGCCCTCCGCGACCACCAACCCTCGCCCTACTCGGCAGGTAAGGCAGAGAGACCCCCGCCCTGCACGGGCAGCAGGAGCGGCCGCCCCGTCGGGGCTGGCCGGGATGGGAACTGGCGGGGGGACCGGGACCACCGGAGCTCGGGGCCGCCAGCTGCCGGTGATGGCAGGGCTCGGTGCCATCGGTTGCCGGAGCCGTCGGTGCCCTGTACCGTCAGTGCTCGATGCCGTCGGTGCCCGGTGCTGTGGGTTCCCGGAGCCGTCGGTGCCCTGCGCTGTCAGAACTCGATGGTGACGGTGCCCATTGCTGCTGGCTCCCGATCCCACCGATTCCCGGCACCGTGGCTGTCCAGTACCGTAAATGCTCGGTGCTGTCGGCGCCTATACCACCGGTGCCCGTTATTGCCGCTTCCCGGTGCCGCCGGTGCCCGGCATTGTCAGGATTCGTAACTATCGGTTTCAGGCGCCGTTGGTGACCGATATCATCGGTTCCCAGTGACCCCAGTGCCCAACCCCGTTAGTGCTCGATGCCGCCGGCTCCGGGAGCCGTCTGTTCCCGGTGCCGCCAGCGCTCGTTCCTGCAAGGTCCCGGTACTCCCGGTTCTCGGTACCGCCAGTACACGCTGCCACAGTGCCCGGTGCTGCCCGTCCCCGTTGCCGCCGGTGCTCGGCATTTCATGCTCGGTGCCGTCGGTAACGCTGCTGTGTGTCCTCGGTGCCGTCCGTTCCCCATGACATCGATTCCCGGTGCTATCGATTCCCGGCACTGTCGGTGCCCGGTCCCACCGGTTCCCGGTGCTGCCGCTGCTCGAAGCCCAGACTGGCCCTGCCCGGCTCGGTCCCTACCGCCCCTCGTCCCGGCGCTCCCCGTTCGCCCCCGCCGCTGGGGATGAACCCTCCCAAGCACTGCCGCGGGTCCCCAAGGATCCCCGGAGCTGTGGCAGCCCCAAAACGGGGCTGGGGAAGGTCCTGGCAGCTGCAAACCCACTCCCCGGTCCGCATTCGTTGCCACGGCGGAGGTGCTGCGTGTGGCTGCGCCGACAACGAAGGAGCTGCCGATCGGTACCGGCGGTCCCACCGCACCGGCACCGGCACCGCATTGCCCCCAGCCCTGCTCCTGCCCCGGGGTCCCGCGTCCCGCCCAACGAACGAACGAACGAACGAACGGTACCGGGGGCGCAGCGGGGGCAGCGATCCAGCCCTGCCCTGGTTCTGCCCGCCCTGCCCGGTCCATCCCTTCTCGCTTCACCTCAGCCCAGTTTGTCCTTCCTGGTTCCTTTGCCGATTCCTCTGCCCGGTGCATCCCCCTGCCCGTTTATGTATTGCCTGTCTATTTCTTCCTATGCGATCCTTGCCCAATCTTTCCCTGCCCTTCCCTTCCCGGTTCACCTTCCCGGTTCATTTATCCCTGGCCAGTGTCCCCTGCCCAGTCCATCCCTTCCCGCTCGCTCCTTCTCGGTTCATCCCTGCCCAATCCATTCCCACCCGATCCATCCCTGCCTGGTGTCTCATACCTGATCCATCCCTTCCCATCCATCCCTTCCCGTCCATCCCTTCCCATCCATCCCTTCCCGTCCATCCCTGCCTGATGTCCCCTGCCCAGGCGTCCCCCAGTGCCCACCACATCCCTCCCGCTGTCCCGGCTCTCTTGACTCCCCTTTTCCCTCCCAGTTCCCTACAAATTCTTCTCGGACCCGTCGGGAATCAACGAAAAAAGGAAGCAGCGGCGGATCCGGACAACGTTCACCAGCTCCCAGCTGAAGGAGCTGGAGAGGGTCTTTGCCGAGACCCACTACCCCGACATCTACACCCGCGAGGAGTTGGCCCTCAAGATCGACCTCACCGAGGCACGGGTGCAGGTCAGCTCCGGGAGGGGGAGGATGGAGCTGGGGATGGGGGTGGAAGGCTCTAATCCCGCTGGAGTAAGCACCCTGACCATGGGACCCTGCTGCTCTGCTCCCTGCATTGGCAGGGGTGGCGGGAAGGGACTTGCCTTGGTGCTACCGCGGTCAGGGGACACAGTGTTGTCACAGCTTTGCTCTGCTGGGAGCTTTGGGGGGACAGCCTGACACCCAGCAGAGTGCCCCATCACTGTCATCCATGATTTAGACGGTCCCAAACACCTTGAGGCTGGTTAGAGTCCAAGAAGGACAGAGAGTGACCCTTTGTGGGTGCAGCTGTCCCCTGTGTCAGTGCAGATTTCTCCTGAGGGAGTCAAAACAGACACAGACCCCTCGTGTGGGTGCAGGCACCTGGTGTCAATGCAGAACCGTCTTTGAAAGGGGGTCTTTCTGTGTGGGATCTCCCCTGTGTCAGTGAACACCCCCCTTTCTGCCTTCAGAACCCCCTCAGTGAGTGCAGACAGCCCCTTTGTGAGAAGATCTGTCCCCATGGGAATGTAGGCACCCATAGGAGTGGGGGTCCTGGCCCCCTCCCTCCCAGGGGGGATGGTGAGTGAAGTGTTGGCACCGTGGGGAGCTGTGGGGTGGGCTCTGGTGCGGGTATGGGTGCGGTGCGGTGATGTCCCCTCCCCATTCCCCTCCCGTGCCCACACCGGAGCACACGTCAGTGCCTGGCGTCAGCTTCTCAAATCTACATTATTGTGGATTCATGGATCCCTCTGGTGATGCAGAAAACATTTCCCCCGAGGGAACGGAGGGTCGTGAAGCCCACCCCAGAACCTGGGAAGGCTTCCCGCACCCACAGGCTCCCCGAATCCCCAGGGACTGCAGCAAGGGGTGCTCCCACCCTCTCCATCCCCTCCAGGTGTGGTTCCAGAACCGTCGAGCCAAATTCCGCAAGCAGGAGCGGGCAGCCAACGCCAAAGGTGCCAGCGGCACCGGCAGCAGCGGGAAGAAATCGGAGCCACGTTCCTCTTCAGAAGACGACGAATCCAAGGAATCCAACTGCAGCCCGACCCCAGACAGCACAGCATCCCTGCCCGCTGCTGCCATCGGCAGCCCCGGCGGCAGCTTGAGCCCCAGCCCCGGTGCGGGGGCACCCCTGGGACCCGGCCATGCCCCCCAGCCCCTCAAGGCACCCCTTTGGGCAGGGGTGGGGGGCAGCAGCGGTGCCCCCAACACAGCCGAGCTGCTGAAGGCCTGGCAGCCCACCGAGGCTGTGCCGGGACCCTTCTCAGGTGTCCTGTCCTCCTTCCATCGGAAACCAAACGGCATCAAGACAAACCTCTTCTGATGGCCGAATCGCCTGATCCGCCTGCCCCCCGAACCCCCCTCGGCACCCACCTTGCACCCCTCACCCACCCAGCCACGATGCTCCGGCAGAGCGGGAGAGGGAGCGGGGACCGCCCCCGGCCACCTCCCGCACCCATGGGTGCTGTGGGACCACGGGGGTGCAAGGCGGGGGATGCCACCCCTATGCTCAGCCAGAGCCTTTGGGTCTGGGGGCTCCCGGTGCGCTCCGGGGGTGTGGGGGCAGATTTGGGGCTCCCCAAAGCACTGCGGGTGCTCCAGCATCGCCCCAGGAGACGCCCCCATCAATGGTCTGGGCTGGGGGCGAGGAAGCACTTTATGGGGGGGCCTCTGGGTGGGCAGTGCCGGGGAATCCGGGATGGAGACACCCCTTGGTGTGGGGAGGGGTGGATTTCCCCCAAATCCCACCTGCTACCATGGATCCCCCCCAGCAGCATCCCGGCGGGAAGGAGACACACACACACACCCCCCACCCCCGAAGATTAACGCAGGGCTGGGAGGTTCAGGCTCGCCTGCATTGCTGCCAGGCAGGGAACAGGGCACAGGGCACCGAGGTGACCCCCTCGAGTGGGGGTGACATGGGATGGACCCCCAGCTAGCAGCAGGTTGGGTGTTCCCACTGAAAATGCCACTGGTGCACCCCACACAACCCCACAGCCTCCCAAAGGGTTCCAAAGCAGGGGGGTGGTGCTGGTGGTGCCCCTCGTGCCCACCACACCAGTGCTGCCGTGCTGGTGGGTTCCATGGCATGGTGAGGATGCTGGCAGCCCATCTGTAGATCCCTGTTTCCTCCCAGCTCCCCCCGAGGTGGGTTCCCCACTTTTCTTCTGTTTTGTTTTGTTTTTTGTTTTTTTTTAACCATTCTGTAATTTATTACCCATGTTTGCAAATGCCACTAATCCAAATTAAACTTAATTTATTGACACTGCTGCTGGCCCTCAGCCCTTGTTGCACCCCACACCCACCATGGGTTGCAGGGGTGGGGGGGCTGCATAGTCCCCACCCCCGACCCTTTGAGACCCACCAGAACCCCCCAGATAATGCCACAGACCCCCAGCACCTTAGGGATTATTTTGGGTGCCCCCCACTCAAAGACCCCAAGCAGCTGTAGGAAGCTGAAAGGACACCCCATGGTGAGGAGAGGGGTGCCCCACACAGCCCCCCTGGCCTCTAGGGGAGGGGGCTGATGATGAAGAAGGCCTTGAGGGCATTGGGATGGTGGCAAGGAGCATGACAGGCTATTGGGGGAATGCTCTGGGGTACCCAAGGTGGGCAAGAAGGGGACAAGGGACCTGGTCCCCGCCTTGCTGGGACCAGTACAGCCAGCTTGGAGGGTCACAGATTATGCTGGGACCCAGTTCTTCCCCTGGTTCCCCATCTTGCCCCCTCCCCAGACTCTTCCCTGCCTCACCACGCCGAGAGCTCCACCACAGCCACTGCATGAACGTGATAAAAATCACTCCAGATTTACCAAACATGGGAGCTGGGGGTTCAGTGAGGGGAAGTTCACACCAGACACCCCAGTAACACAGGGGGGATGCTGGGGGGTGCCAGGGGCGCCTGGCCCATCCTTCATCTCGGCCGGAGTGAGGTTTTGGGGGGGGTTTGGGGTCTGGGGGCAGCATCCCCCCTGAGGACAGCATGGAGGGAGCATCCCAGTGGGGAAGGCACAGTGGGAGGGCCCTTGTCCTGGGGACCCCCACCCTGGGGACCCTCCTGGAAGGACACTTGGCAAGGCTGGGGCTGAGCACCCACAAGGAGACCCGTCTGCCAGCCCCACTGTCCCCAAGGGCAGCACAAACCCCCGTGGGGCAGACAGACCCAGCAAGTACCTAATGGGCAAACTGGGAGGGAGTGGGGGACATGCCCCGGAGGCACTGGTGGTGAGGGGTGGGCTCTGGGGGAAGGCACTCATCTGGTTCTGCTGTGACAGGATTCCCAGGGTGGGAACAGGGACCACCATGCTGGGGATGGGAGCCCCAGGAATGGTGACAGGGACACCTGGGGTGGAGATGGAACCTCTGGAGATGGGGACAGGAACCCCCAGGGGTGGTGACAGCACACCCAGGGCAGGGATGGGGATCATCAGAGCGGGGGTAGAACCCCTGGTGTGCAGATATGAAGTTCAGGGTGAGGACAGGATCCTCTGGAGCTGAGACAGGGACCTACAGAAAGGGGATGGGACCCCCAGTGATGGTGACAGGCACCCCCTGGGTGGGGATGGGACCCTCAGGGGAACAGGTGCCCTGGGGTGGGGACAGGAACCCTCACGGTGGGGATGGGACCATCAGGGTGGGGACAGAATCATTAGAGCTGGGGATGGGGACCCTGAGCTGTGCCTAGTGTTGTCTGTGTTGTCCCATCCCACCCCATCCCAGGCATCATGAAGGCACTTGGGTCAAGACATGCTTTGCTCAGAGCCTCCTCCTCCTCCTAGCTGTGAGGGGGTCATGGGGGCAGCCAGGATCCCAATGGTTACCCCCAAACACCTCTTCCCCCATCCCTTCTCCCAATAAATAAAAAAATAACTTAAATGTGAGGGCTCCCCGTAGGGATCCTCATGTGAAATTATCTGACCAGGACCCACCTCCTGTCTCCCCACTGCCCCTTCCCACCCCATTACCCTGAATCCAGGGTGGGGGGCGGGCTGTGGAGGTTGTGGGGTTCCCACTTGCTGCTGGTGATGTGGGATGAACGGATGCAGGATGTGGGACTTTGGGATGAGGATCCTCAGCTGCAGGATCTGGGGAATCTGGGGTGCATGGCCACAGGATTTGGGATGCTCAGCTGCAAGATGCAGGGCCACACAGCCCAGGATGTGTGGCAGCAGGGTGCAGAACGTGGGATCCGGGGTGTGCCTCTGTGGGATGCAGGATGCTGGGCCACAGGACACGCAGCTGCAAGGTCTGAGATGCAGGGCTGCAGGATTTGGCGTGCAGGATGTGCAGCTGCAGGATCTGGGATGCTGGGCCATGGGAAGCACGGGGTGCTGGATGTGCAGCTACTTGCGGAGCTGGAGGCTCTCCAGAAGGACACGCTTGTGGCCAGGCTCCAGCACTCCAGCCTCCTCCAGGTCTTCCTCTGTGATGTCACTGGGAAAGAGACACAAATATGGGGCTGAGGGGCACCCCAGACTCGGGTGGGGTGCAAGGGGCTTCATCCTGTCCCTGCTGTGGGGTTTGTGACCCTCAGGGGGCAGGGGGGATCCCGAGAGGCAAAGGGCAGGTGGGAGCAGTGGGGACCTCTGAAGTAATGCCCACCCAGGGCAGCACAGAACCTTTGGGGGAAATGAGGCCCTGAAGGTGCAGTGGGGACTCCCAGGGGAAGTGGAGACCCACAGGAGCAGTGGGGAGCTCCCAGGGATAGTGGGGACTACCAAGGGCAGCACCCCAACAGACCTTCCCACAACCCAGGCATCACTAGGGGGAAGATATGGACTCATGGGGCTGGCCAGGCTGGTGGTGGGAGTGGGTGGGAGTGGGTGGGGGTCCCTCCCCACCATTCTGGGGGGCTGCTCACCTGAGGAACTCCAGGTCATCCCATCCATTGCGCACCAGCCCCTCCTCGTACCGCTCCAGCCCCAGCGCCCGCAGCCACTCGCCCACGCCGGGCACGGCGCCCGCAGCACGGCCCTGCGCCTGCGCCCCGACAGCCTCAGCGCCGTGGGGCACCCCAAAGGGAGCCCCAACCGAGCTGCTGAGGACCCCCACCCATCCTGTATCACCCACCTCCTCAGCCAGGTCCTCCTGGATGCTCTCCTGGATGGAGTGGGGAGGGAAGGCAAGGGGGCGGCCATAGTCGGGGTGCAGGGAGCGGGGAGCCAATGGCCCCTTGGCCAGCAGCGGTGGTGGGGGGACCACCCTCCCCTTCCCACCCCCGTAGTCCACCTCGCTCAGCGTCTTGGCCATCTGCAGCACCGAGCAGGAGCGGTCATCCAGCAGCCCCCCAGCAGTGGGCAGCCCCCCAGGAACAGGCGTCCCACCAGCCCCCTCCATCCCAAATCCAGCCCTGGCGGCCGGGGGTCGTCGGGGGTGCAGCTTGGGCAGGGGAGCCTCTCCGAAGGCAGCAGGGTGGGATTTGGGCTCCTCACACCCGCTGGGTACCAGCAGCTCCTTGGGGGTGCCAAAGAAGGTGTTTGGGGGCAGCTCCAGCTCCCGTGGCAGCGGCGGCGGGGGAAAATCCGGCGGTGGCAGGTTGAGGGTGCCCACGTCCTCTTCCTCATCGCTCTCGCCACAGCACGCCGAGGGGCACTGGCAGCGCTCCGGCACTGCCAGCTGCACCTTGGCCTTGGGGGGCTTGCCGGGGTCCCCTTGTGCCAGCAGCTGGTGGGGGACCCCCTCCAGCACGTAGTATGCCGGGTTGTTGAAGCTGTTCTTCAGGGGACCCCCTGACAGCTCTGGCATTGCCTCCACCTTGGACCTGCGGGGACAGGGTTGAGCGTGGCACCCCCAGACCGATCCCCACCCCGTCCCTGGCCCTGCCCGTTGTCCCTCACCGGCCCGGGGTGGCCTCGTCCCTGGGGGTGCTGCGGTGTGTGGCAGGGGGGCGTGGTGCTGCTGCAGTGCTGCTCTTCTCGGGCTCTTCTGGGAGCTTGGCCAGGATGGTGGTGGGGGGCTCAGCACCCGTGGGCTTCCGCCCCACAGACCTGGCAACAGGAGGGGTTGGGTGCCCCGTGGGGTTTGAGTGTCCACAACGGAGTTCAGACCCCCAGGTCAGGGCTCAGATCCCCAGGATGGGGCTCTGCCCTCTAGGACAGGGTTCAGCACCAAAACACAGCCAGAGCCACATTCAGAAGGTCAGAGCCCCACCCCTGCCCCGTGTGGCACAAAACTGTCCCCGGTCACATCCCACACACCAGCCTAGAGGGACACTCTGAGCAATACTTGTGCCCAGGTAAATCCCTCAGGCCTCCCAACCCCCAGGAGCCGGTGCCCCCCACCCTGCCAAGCCCTGTCCCCCATACTTGGCATTGTCCTGGGTGGCCCTGGCACCTAGCAGCACCTTCCCTTTGCTGGCTGTCGTCTCATCCTTATCCACGCTGATCCACTCTGCCAGGGAACAGGGGCTCAGTGGTGGATCCCTCTCTCCACAGTCCCCCCTGGGGTGGGGGCTCCTCACCATAGAGCCTCTCACGGGTGCCCAGGCGCTCCGTGGGCACCCGGACCTTCATGGAGCCACGGATGTTGCCGGTCTCCTCACCGCGGTGGGACAGGTAGGTGAGGAACTGCTGCGCTGTGCTGCCAATCATCGACTTCAGGGCAATGACACACTCCCCTGAGGGTGACAGCGGGGGAGGTTGGGGGTCTACACCCCACGGACCCCCCGGTGCTGGCAGGGTGTGGGAGTAGACACTCACCGTAGGACTCGTAGCCATCGAGGGATTTGACGGTGAGCAAAAGGTGCTGGTCCTGCAGGTACTCAATCTCGGAGAGGATGGGCTTCAGCTGTGGCCAAGGGGATGGGGTGTGGCACTGAGTGGGGGTCTCCCTGGCTTCAGCTTCTCCCAGCACCCACCCTGTCAGCCCCTAGCCCCTCCTCACCGTGGGCAGCTGCCGGGATGACCACTGCACCTTGAGGAAGTTGATGTTGTCACTGCTCTGGCTGTCGTTCTCAAAGCTCTTCTTGAACTCTGTGGTGGCAGCAGGACATGGCATCAATCCTTGAGCCTTCCAGGATACCATGAGCTTCCTGGAACCCCCCTCAAGCCCTTTGGGACTCCCCACTGCCATTGCAGTCCTCACCTTCCAGGCAGGTAGAATAGAACTCGATGAAAAACTTGGTGCGACTGGAGGTCTTCACGATGGCTTCTATGCTCTCAAACTCGATGTACGCCTGCTCTGAGGACTTAGAGAGCCCTCCACGGAGAGGAGAGGCATTGGAATCCCCCTGGGACCTCTCCACTTAGATGGAGAGGTTGGACCATGGAGGGGCAGGGGACAGCGAGGTATCCCCTTGGGCATAGGCACCTTTTTTGGAAACGAACTGGGACGTCACTCCCACTTCAAAGGAGCCGAAGACGGGTGAGTGGTCACTGGTGACGATGTCATCTGTGCACCCTGCAGCAGTGGGAACGGGGAAGAAGTCAGGAGGGAGGTGGGGATTGTCCCCAGAAGAGGGATGAGAGCGCTGGGGGTGGTTACACCGCTCACCATACGCGTTGCAGTTGACGTGAGTCTCGGGGTAGGACTTCCAGAGGATGCGGTCGCACCAGGAGGGCACGTTGGTACGCACCTGGCAGGGGTGGGGAGCGGTGGGGGTTTGGATTGGGGTGTCCTCCACTCCCCCAACTCCCTCTAGCCCAGCACCTACCCCTGTGGGCTTCTGCTTGTGCCAGACGTAGGTGTCCCGGGAGCCCCGCTCGTAGCGGTAGGTTGGGGGGAAGGTGATCTCCTCCTCGCCTGCAGGGACAGCAGTGGGTCAGGACAATCCTGACAGCAGGGCCTGCAGCACCAGACCCTCTCGGAGCCCCCCCAGTCCTCACCGAAGCGCAGGAACACCTTGTGCTTCTCCTTCTCCAGATTGAGCTGATCCACCTTCAGCAGCGGCTCCAGCTCCTTGCGGCTGATGTAGTTGAGGATCTCCTGTGGGGACAAAGGTGTTGGCACTGGGCTGGGAGGGGGACCCTGCCACTCCCACCTGCCTTCCCACCCTCACCCACCCCTTCCCCTGACCTGGATGTCCATGTCTAGGCGGTAATTGAGGTCCCCGAACCAGAAGAGGTGGGTGAAGCGAAGAGAGATGTCAAAGGAGCTCAGCTGCTTATCCCCCAGTGAGAGCAGGCGCAGGATGTCCAGGTAGTTCTGGTTCCTCCTGAAGCAGGGGGACACAGGGACAGGGTGTTACAGACACGAGGACAGCAGTGACAGCCCTGCCCTGGCCCAGCCTAGGGTGGGGGTGCTCACCTTGCTGTCTTCTCATTGCCAGAGGTGAGGTGGCAATTGACAAAGCCGAAGGAGGTGCCATTGAACATGAAGGAGACACCCACAGCGCCCTTGTTCCCTGTGAGGAAATGGGGATGTGGGATGGGATCAGGCAACCCCTGATTCTACCTCGGGGACACACACCCAGCCAGCCCCACATCACCCAGACAGCAGCCTGGCACATGCTGAGAGGTTTCCTCGTGAAACACAACCCCCAGATCCCCCCCTTGTGCAAAGCACACTTATCCAGTGCAGCAGACATTCCCAGAACCTTCCCTGTGTGCTGCACACACAGCCCTCCTCATGACACACCCATGCTCTGGGACCCCTCCTTGTGCAACCTGCACACCAGGACCCCTCCCCATGCAATGCCCACACGCCAGGACTCCTCCCCATGCAAGGTACGCATGCTGAGACTCCTCCCCATGCAACACATGCAACAAACCCCCCCCCCCCATGGTGCAGACAGCCCAGAGCTCCCCCCCAGTGCAGTGCATACCCCACATCCCTCTATGCCCTGCTGCAGCCCTACCCAGGGTGTTGGCGATCCCTGTCTTGACGCTGGAGGTGCTGACGTGGCTGATGCGGTTCTCGTGCTCTGGCTTCACCAGCACCACCACCTTGATGTTCCACAGGGACTGCATGGCCACCTGTGGGTGCCAGCACCCTCAGCCCCCTGCCAGCATCTGCTGGGGCCCCCCGGTGTGTCCACAGGGGATGCTCATTGCTGCATCATCCCAGCCTCTCCCACCAAGGGCTGCTCCCCATGGAATCCCACCACCATCAATCAGTATCCACAGCTACCCAGCAGCAGGAGACCACCCCAAAACGCTTTGTGTCGGCAGGCTCGGAGCACCCACAGCCACCCGGCACCACGAGAGCACCCCCAGAGCCAGAGCACAGCCACCCCTGGCACACTGAGCATCACACACCTCCACCACCCACCAGTGCCTGCACCCCACAGCCCCCACAGTCCCCTGGCTCTTACCGGGCGGTACTCAACCTCTGTGAAGTCTTTGAGCACAGTGCGCAGAAAATCCACCCACTCCTTGTCTCCCAGAGAATTCTCCTGGGTGCCAAAGACGTAGATGTCGTGTGGTATGGCCATTGTCACCTCATCCAGGGTCTTGCCCAGCCCCTTGGAGGTGATCCACGAAGTGATGTTTTTTGGGGGGGGAACACCGCCTGCAGCAGGGACAGCACAGTTAGGGGGACCCCAGGGCTTTGCCACCCCACTGAGGGCTGTCCCCAGCCCTGCTCACCCATGTTCCAGGTGCCAATGAAGACAGAGATCATGTCAGGCTCGTCCTGGTGAGAATGCTTGTTCTTCATCAGCTGCAGGAGCTGACAGAAGGCCTCACGCTTCTGCAGAAGGGGGCAGTGAGGGGGGGTAGAGGGGCTCCCTACAACCCTATCCCACCCCCTGCTTTGGCTCAGCCAAAGCTGGCACCTTCTGGGCATGAGGGACCGCCCCAGGGACATCACACAGCCACCAGGCACCGGTACCCAGGGCCCAGGGGTTAAATCCATCCCCACCCCATCCCTACAAGGGACCCCTTGTCCCCTGCCCACCTCCAGCAGAGCATTACCCACCCGAGCACTGACAAAAACAAAGTCTTTCCGTTGCGTTTTATCCTTTTCCTTCTCAAAGACGATGCCCAGTTTGTTCTGCACCCGCTGTGACTTGATCAGCTGCCGGACTGAGGAGGAGTGGCAAGAACTGAGAGGGTGCAGGGTGCTAGCCGAGTGCTGGAACCCCCCCAGGCCATGCTTTGGGGGACCCCCAAGATGGGGACACCCCCAGCATGAGGAAATCCCCCAGCTACCAGCTCACTGAGCCTCACAGGGATGCTCCCCAGTGCAAAGGGAGTCCCACGAGTGCTGGGGCCCCCCCAGACACCTCCCCACTCACTCTTGTCATGGGTGAAGGTGTTCCAGTCCTCCTGGGAGTCCTTCTGCTTCTTCAGTACCACTAGCTTGCCCCCCTCCACATCCACGCTCAGCGTGTACTTCTGTGACTTCCCAATCTTGGTCAGGTCCCCCAGGGTGATATCCAGCTTCACCTGCCAGGGGACACTGGGGTGAGGGAGGACACAGGGGACCCCCCCCCAGAAACACCTGAGGGTCTGTGCCCTCAGTGTCACACCAGAGGTACCCAGCTGATGCTGAAATCCCCACAAAACTCCAAAACTCAGTAGGGCAGGGGGTAGGGCAGGGCTCACCTCAAAGGTCTGCACTGGGATGCTCTTGGCCTTGCGGGAGAGGGGTTGAAGGGGGGTGGCAGGGGTGGCTGAGCTCATCTCCTGCAGGGCCTTCAATGCCTGCCAGAGCCCCAGCAGGGTCAGCTGAGAGCCCACCAGTCCCCCAGCTCCATCAACCCTTCCAGTCCCACCAATCTTCCAAGCCCCACCAGCCCTCACAGTCCACAAGGCCTGACTAGTGCCAGCTCCACTGACCCTCCTGAGTCCCACAAGTTCATCCCCAGTCCCCCAGCTCCACCAGCCCAACAATCTCTGCCAGTCCCGCCAGCGCCCTCAGCCCCACAGTCTCTCCAGTTCATCCAGACCCCTCAGAACACCCCCATCAGAGTATCCACCCCTGCATCTCCAGCCTTACCTTCTTCTCGATGGAGGACAGGAAATCTTTCAGCACGGAGAGTTTCAGCACCAGGTTCTCCAGCTCCTGCTCTCCACTCTGCCCTGCTGTCTGCAACCCCCAGCAGGATACCCCAGCACTGGGATGTGAACCCCAGACCCACGCCAGAGCCTCCCCCCACCCCAAGTGGCAGAGCCCACTGGCAATCTGGGATGGGGTGGGATGGTAGGCGTTTCTCCACAGTTTTTCCCACCACCTATGGGTGGTACCATGGTGGGGTCTGTGGGTGCAGTCCATGGTGGGGGGTTGCCACTGCTACATCCCCATATTCTCTTTACCTGTTGCAGAATCTTGGAGACCATGGGGGAGCTCTGCTGGTCAAACACCTTGGAGAGGATCTCCAGCCCTGCCAGCACCTTGTCCACCTCACTGCAGAGGCAAGAGGAGCCGGCTCACTGGGTGGCACAGACATCCTCCCATCTTTTCATCTGTCCCAGTGCCCGGCATTCACCTGTGCAGTCGTTTGCAGGAGGTGACAAGGGTCTTGTTGAGGTGGGGGAGGCTGTTGGCCCCTCCCTTCACTGCCTCCAGATCCAGGCTGTAGCTGCCCTTCAGGTACTCGTGTGAGATGCTGCTGAGCCCATTGGTGCTAGAGAGAGCACCCAGGGGTGAGAGCCAGCAGGCAGCAGCAGGGGACAGACAGGGAACAGGCAGGAGACAGACAGAGCCTCACCTCTCCACTGGCCCCTCTGGCACAGATGGTCCCAGGCCAGTGGGGCTGAGCCCCACTGAGGTGCCAGAGAAACTGGTGGAGCCGGAGCGTGGCGGCAACGGCGGCTTCTCATCTTCTCCATCTGCAATGGGGCAATGAGGGGCTGGTTACTACCACCCCAGGGGTCTCAGGACCCTATTAACCCACCCACCATGCCATACCTGAGTAGTCCCTGTCCTCCACGGTCTCCTTCTCCTTCTCCCTCTCGACAGGGAAGAGCAGGGTGCAGACGAGCCCCTGGTTGGGCTGCAGGTACAGGGCAATCAGCTCGCTGAGCGTCTTGAAGCGCCGCACCTGCACCCCCTGGGACGTCTGCGGGGACACGGGGACACCGGGACCATCAGCACCTGCAGCCAGCATCACCAGACTCCCCCAGGTGGAGACACCACCAAGCAGGGAACCCACCATCCATGCAGAGATGCCCCCAAATAGGAATCTCCCCAGATCCCATGCAGGGACCCCCATGCAGGATGGGGGGCTGACCCCACAGGGGTCTGCAGGGCTGGTAGGTGAGCTGATAGGGTGCAGGCAGCAGCAATCCCTTGGCCTCCTCCCTCCCAAGGGCAGCTTTTCCTGCCTGCCTGGCCAGCACAAAGAGGGTTCTGTTGCTCTAAAAATACCCAGTGCCACAGCCGGCCAAGACAGGCACGGCCAAAGCCATCCGGCACAGCCGGGCACGCACGTGGCATCGTGCCAGGGCTGAGCCCAGCACAGCCAGCCAGCACAGCCAGAGGGACAGGTAAACTCACAGCACAAAGGCAACACTGAGTACTGCTGAGCTGGAGACCCCCCTCTGCCCACGAGGGTGCCCCGTGCCCGCGCTGCCCACCTGCACGGCCAGGAAATCCTCCTCGTCCGGCAGGATGCGGTAGGTGTGCACGTGTTTCTGGAACCTGTGGCAGCAGGGAGGGCATCAGGGTGCTGGAGGTTGGGTAGTGTCCCCCCACCTGCCTGCATAGCCCCGGCATAGCTCAATACTCATCCAGTCAGAGCCTTATTTCACCAGCACCAACAGTGAGGAGCTCCAGTACCACCATTCCCAGTAAAATGCAGTGAGCTGCAGAAAACCCATGGAAAACTCATGGGAAAATGCTTGCAGAATGGTGCTGGGAGTCCGAGAGTGACTCCCCTACTTGCTCCGACCCCACAATTGACACCAGTACGTCCTTGGCAGTGCTGCTGCCCCTGCTGCACTGCCTGTCTGTGCCAGAGGCACTGTCCCCAGCCCACTGCACAGGCAGGAGCTGGCAGGAGCAAGCAGGAGCTGGCAGCCAGGACACCAGGAAACAATTTATTTTCCTGTGGAAGCTGACAGGAACCAAGGACGTGATCCCGGGGCAGGGGGTGACGGGCAGCGCTAAGAGATGGGGTGACAGCAACAGTGGGTGCAAGGAGCAGGATTGGAAGCCCTCCCCATTTCAGGGACTCCAAGGGATTGAGAGCCTCAGCACTACCAGACCTCCCCCCTCCAGGGCTGTCAGCAGGGACTGTGCCTCCTTGGCTGGCCTCTGGCCATGGAGGTCACCATGAGCATTGAGGCTGCTGTCACCACCAGGGCCACTCAGATGCTGTGTTCCCTGCCCCAGCTCAACACAGGGCTGAGGACTGGGACAGGGCAGCATCCATCCATCCCCCATGCTGTGCTGTGTCCCTGGACAGGGTGCCGTGCCCCCAAGCCCTACCCCCTGGTGCCACCCTACAGTTCTGGTTACTCTGCCACCACCCCACACCACCAGGTCCCCTGCAGTCCCAGGTACCCCATTTCTCCTGCCTCCTCTGGAGGTGTCACCTATCCCAGCATCACTGGGGTCTTCCCAGTGTCCTAATACCCAGTCATGGATCATTGTGAGAGTGGGGGGCCATGGAGAACTCTTCAAGTGGTAGCAGGGGGCTGAATGAGAATCCACTGTGGGGGGATGATGTGTGGAAAACCCCACTAGAGTCGGTAAAGGGATCGGGGGTTCCCAGACTCAAAGGAGTCTGTGGGAGAATCCCAGCTGGTAGGATGGGGGAGGGCACAAAGAGACACCCCCAAATGAAAGCAGTATAAGGGGTCTCTGTGGGAAGTCCTAATACACAGCTGGGGTCCCCATAGCAGGAACAGCAGTGGAGGTGTGATGTGGGTACAAGAGGAACCCCAGCATAGCACTAGTATGTGGAACTCCAGATCACAGGGGCAAGGAGCAGGACCCTCAAGGAGTTGTCTGTGGATAACTGGCGGGGGGCTGGAGGGACACCCAGCACAGGGGTTGGTACTGAGGAAGGGCCCCCTGGCTGCCCAGTCCCACACCGCTGTGTGCTGCTATTTTGGTGAGCAGTGACGGGGAGGGGGGGCCAGAGAGCACCGGGCTCGGGCACAAAGAGCCTTTATGCAGGAGAAACGGGACTCCCCTGTCGGCTCTGACGCACAGCACCCCGTATGCCCACTGCTCTGTGGCACCTACCCCCCCACTCCACCAAGAGCAGGGTGTGGGCACCCTGGCAAGGGGGATACTGTGTGCCCACTGGCACCACCTTGGCACTGGTGTCCCCTGTGAACTGCTGCTGAGCCAGGATGGAAGCTCCAAGCCCCCACACTCCTGTGGGACACTACACCAGGACTGTCCCCACTAGCACTGCTCACCAGCCAGTGCTGCCAGCACACCCAGCACACACTGTGTGCTAGCACTGTGAGTTCCAGTGATGCCCCAATATGCAACAGTGAGACACCCCAGTGTGCCATACAAGGGCACAGTGAGATGTCCTGGTGTGCCACATCCGTCCCACTGAGTCCACGGTGCACCAGTGGGAGGGTTAAAGGAAGCCGACGCTGCCGGGATCCCGCTGCAGTTCCCTTTCCTCCTCCTGATTCTGCAGCTATTTTTAGGGCCCCAGGAATAGCTGAGGCCAGTGGCTCCACAGCCCTGTCCACCCACTCACTGGCAGTGGGGGTGCCTGGTGAGATCACAGCACCAGGGACTCCCAATAGCTCTTGCTGGAGTGCAGCTTGCCAACCTGGCATCCCATGATGGGATTTGCCATGGTCCCAGTGCCACAGGCCAGCCTCGTGGCACCCACAGCCTCCTCAGCAAGCAGTGAGAGACATCAATGGCAGAGACACCTTACCCAGGCACCCGTACCACAATGCTGTCTGTAGCCCCCTATCACCCACACTGGTGCCACAGTGCCCTCCAGCCATATGGCACCATTAGGTGTGCACCATTAGGGTTGTGCTAGTGCTGCTTGCTAGCCCAGTCTGTGGTGGGGAGCTGGGAAACTGCATTTGCCACAGTCCACGGGGAAGGACATCTATGCCACCATGGAGGCTGCATGCCTGGCAACTGCACGTGGCACCAGCACACAGTACCCCAGGCCAGGGCAGGCCAGCTCACAGCGCACTCCCAATTCTCCCACAGGCTCTCAGGGCACAGAAAAGCTTTGAGTTCAAGTGCCCTCACCACCACCTCACAACCACATCAAGGTCCAGGTGCTGGCACAGGTAGCCAGCCTTGAGCAGAGCCAGTGGCATGCCCCAGGAGCATCCCAGCACAACGAGGTGCCAGAGCTCCAGGTATGGTGGGGGTGTGGGGTGCACCACTGGGCAAAGGCACTTCAGGACCCCCAGGGCTGTCAGCACTCATCTGTGACTTGGCACAAGCTGGGAGCCATGGAGTTGCACGGCACAACTCAGGGGCACAGAGCTGTCCCCCCTTCCCAGGCTGGGGATCCCCAGTGCCATGGGTAGGCTCAGGGACCCCAAGAGTGTGGGGTAGGGTGACAAAGCACCCCTGGAGCCAGCCCAATATCCCCCCAGTGTCCAGAGGTTCCCAGCCCCTCCAGAGTCAGTTGGTGTCTGGACTCCTGGGAAACCCAGGCCACAGCTGGTGCCATTCTCCTAGTGCCCTGTGTCCCAGAAGTGCCAGTGTCCCTTTGAACCCCCAGGTCTCCCCATGTCTGTGCCCCCCCAGCACCCACCGACCAGAGCTGTCCCAGCCTCCATGTGCCCAAATTGCTAGCAACCCCCACAGTACTGGTAACCCCCATGTTCACTGTATCCCTCAGGTGGCTTTCCCTCTCTGTCTGTTGCCCTCTTGATGTTTCCCCCACCCCCCAATTCTCTCCTGCGTGCTCCCCTGGATCCCTTCCAGTGATCTCCACTGTTTCTCTGCCCGTGCTTCCTTGGCACCCCCCTATCCACCCTCGGTGTGTCTCCCACTGTTCTTCCCACTTCTCTGCCAGTGCTTCCCTGGATACCTGCCCTGTGTCTCCTGAAGTCCCCTGAACCTCCTGTGTCCCCTGAATCCCTGCAATGACCCCACCGTGACGCCCCAGTGTATTCCCTGGTACCTCGCTGGCGCTCCCCCAAACCCACCCCCGCCTGCCCTCCCGACCTCCTCCCGCTCTCCTCGGACCATCCCCGAGGCCCCTCCGGTGCCGCCCTGAACACTCCACTCCCACGCCCGAATCTCCCCCGTTTCTCCCGGGATCCCCCCAAAGCTCCGGCGGTATCTAGCCGGGACACCCACCCTCTGTTCTCCCGGGGTCGCCCCTGATCCTCCCCCCGCTCCCCCGGCCCCGCTGCGGTCCCCTCCCGGTGCCCCCGCTCCGGTCACCCCCGATGGCCTCTCCCGGTTGTCCCCCCGTGCTCCGCCGGTACCGCGTGGGTCCCGGCCCGGACCCCCCCGCCCGTACCCCACTCACAGCAGGCAGAGCGCGTAGGCCCCCGCCACGCTTTCGCTGTCCCGCACCAGGAAGCTGCCGTCCCGCCCGGCCCGAGCCAGCTGCTCCTCGGCCGCCGCCCGGCTCAGGTCCCGGTGGTACCAGGGGGGCACCGGCACCGGGGCCGCCCCTCCCGCGCCCCCCGCGCCCGCCATGCTCCGCCGCCGGGGCCGCGCCGCGGGGCCGCGCTCCGAGGGGGAGGGGGGAGCCGAGGGGCGGGCACCGGGGCGGGGAAAGGTGGGGGACGGGGACATCCCGGGCACAGGCGGGGGCTCCGGGGCTTGGGGGCACCGTGGGCCCCCGGGTACCTCATCGGAGAGATCCGGGAAGGGCGATGGCGGAAGGGGCACCGGAGGGGATCCGTGGGGGATCCTGGGGGAGCACCTGAGAGGCACCGGAGCAGATCAGGGGCCATGAGTAGGATGTTCAGGGGGCATCGGGGGTTCTGCTCCGAGGGGCGGAGAGCAGCACCGGGTAGCGGCAGCAGCGGTGGGGAGCACGGGGAGGATGGAGAGCACCGGGGTGGGGAGCACCTAGGAAGGGGAAAGCACTTGGAGAGATAGGGACACTAGGGGAGCGCCCAGGGGCACAGTGGTATGAAGGCACCGGGGAGCCGGGCACTGGGGAAAGGGGGGCCACGGTGGGGCAGGGCTGGGGCCAGGGCCTGAAGAAGTGCCACCAAAACCGGGGACTTCTCCACGGTCCAGGGATTGAAACGGTGCCACCTCACAGCTGGGAACACGGAGCATGTGGGGGGAAAGGGACACCAGGGGTGGGCCCCGGGCCAGCGGAACTCCCTTGACAATGCTCCCACATCAGAGTCCCCGGGATGTTCTCCCCTTCCCCCCATAATTTTCCCAGTCTCATCCTGTGCACCCCAGAGTGGCAGTGACGCCCGGGGCCCTGAAGCCATATCAGGCTCTAGGACACATTCAGCGATCTCATCATCCTCCTGGGCCCCAGAGGCAGGCAGCCCTGTGCCTTCTGCTTTGCCCGGCACAGTGGTTTTGGGGGAGGCAGTGCTGGGCCAAGGACGATAACTAAATAACCAGTTGTAGCCTACAAATAGGTGTCGTGAGCGCGATATTTCACTGCTGGATGGCGTGAAAGCTGATGCTCAAAAAATTTGCCGAGGCAATCGTCGAGCACCGGGAGCTCTCCGAGGACCCTTGCCGTGGCATCCCTGGAGCACGGAGACGCTGCTGAACGACGATGCAGCAACACATTACCTAAGCAACAGCTAAAAAACCTTTTGGAATGGATTTTAGTAAACTTCTCAATACTGAACGTCTTTACCAGAGACTTTTGGGACACAGTTGGATATAGACTCTTTAATACGACCGCCGGTGAGCTCGTCCCGGCGTGCAGGGCGTTGGTCGAGCTGTTTGCTGCACAGACCACGCCCGCAGCAGCCGCTCCTCCCATCCTTGTTGTTGCTGAGACTCCACTCCATTCCTCCGCGCTTCCGTGTCTCCAGAGTTTGGCACAGATTTCGCAACCCAAAATAAGACACTACACCCTGAAAATTCACCACCATCAATCTCAAATTTAGAAAATTCCCAGAAAGGTTTTGATAACCTTCAACTAACAGACTGGCATGAAGTCAGACGCGAAATTTGCAAAGAGGAAAGTTTAAATCCTTTGGCAATGCCTGTGGTCCTAGAACATGGACAGCCATCCCATCTCATGAGCTGAAAGAATTACGAAAATCGATAAAGGACAGTGGTATTTGCTCTCCATATTTTAAGCACCTGCTGAAAAGTGCCCTGGAATGTACATACACTCACACCAACTGACTGTAAAAATCTTGCTCATATGATTCTTACAGATTCACAATATGTGCTATGGGAACTCAAATGGAAGAGACTGATTGCAGGGGTCCTAGCCACTTACAGACAATGCACTGATGCAGACCTTCATGTCCTCATCTTGTCTAAGCTAACAGGTGACCCTCCTGATTATCAAAATGATAATCAAGTGAATTTACCCAGAAGGGCATTAGATGACATCAGAAATATGGCTTGCAGAGCCCTTTTGCAAATTCAGCCTGCAGGAACTTTCAAAAAAGTCTACAATCTGCTGTAACTTCAGGACCTTGCTACTTCTGCAAAAAATCTGGCCCAAATGGCTAAAGGAGCTCTATAAAGCAGGCTTGATCATTTTAATAGTGCTAGTTGTAGTTTTATTTGTAATACCCTGCATACTTCAGTGTGTGCAAAATTGATGAGGAAGAGAGTATCTAACATCTTAGTTGTTCATTAGAACAGGGGAGATATTGGGGAAGACGAAATGGGAAAGCCTTATAAATATGTTTGCTTAGCAAAGGATTTGGAAAATACAGACTGTGAGTGAAACTGAGATGAGAAAAAGCTTTGAGATTTCGGACCTTGGTTGCTGAGCAACTGGTGGACAGTAGTGTAGCTAGTAGAAGGTAACTCCCTTTTTTGACCCACAGACAGATCCAAGGGTGAGATAAAAAATGGATAGTTTATTCCACACTTGTAACCCTCCCCTGAAGTATGATGAATCTGTAATCCCACTGGTCCAAAGTCCTATTCTGCACCCACTTTCAAGCCCCCTTGATAAGGCGTTCCTGGGAGACCAGGCCCCCTTCTCCTGCCCTTCCTCTGCCCCTCTTCCTGCCCATTCTCCTGCACTCTCTCCCTCCCCTTCTCTCTACCCTCTTAGAACCTCTCTTAGAACTCTGTTTCGCCCTGCCCCTACTCCTTGGGGCCTGCTTTGAGCTGCAGCTGGCAGCTCCGAGCAGGACCCCACAATAAACCATATATCCTAACACCTGACTTCAGAAATCTGTTGTCTCCATCCGTCCCTACCGTCCAGGACCAGCCCTTGCCACAGTCTGCTTCATCTCCCCCCCAGAAGCAGGATGAGACAAGCAGACACCCCCTAGGTCCCTCAACCATCCTACTGCCCCCCCAGCCATCCCACAACACCCCAAGACCAAGCAGGGCAGGAACATTTATTCATGAAGCACGTGCCTTGGTGGGGGACACAGCTTGGGAACATTTCATGGGGAGACAAAAGACAGCCTGGTGACCTCTCTGACCACCTACTGCCTGCTCCTGCCTGCAGCCCCTCCTGCTCAGAGCAGGGCCAGAAGGGTGAGGGGCAGCAGGGACAGCAGGATAGAGAGCGGGGAGTTTGGGGGAGCATCACCATGGGCGTAATATTGGGCGACAACAACGTTGGGGTTCCCCTGAGTGGGATCGAACCACATCTGGATGCAGTGACCGCTGCCACGGTGGTGGGACGTGTAGCGGTAGGAGCCAGACCAGATCTGCTCGCAGAGTGCAGCCGCCGTGGGGAACACAAACTTGAACTTCTGGCACATGGCACCCTTGGGACACTGGTTGGTGCCTGGGAGTGGGCAAGGGGTGAAGTGAGTGAAGGGCTTTGGGAAATAGGTGTTGTTCCCCTGTGCATGGGGTGTTCCCACTGGCATTGCTGGGGAAGAGAGAGTTGACCTCAAGTTGGCACAGGGTCTACCCCACATGCCATGAGGACCCTGACCCACTCATATGCACAGGGGACTCTCACCTGGCTGCCACCCCCACCCCATGGGGACCCTCACACCCCTGAACCCACTCACACCCACCAGGGAGGGTGGACACAACCTCCCCTGCAGCAGGATGGACGGTGACTGGAGACCTACAGGAGAGTCGAGGTGTGATGGGGGCTGCCCTGCAACCCCCACTCACCTGTAGTCCAGTTCCAGCCCTTGTGCCAGTTGACCTTGCAGGTGACAGCATCCTGGCAATCCTCCCACCACTGCTCACAGTCCTCCCGGCACAGTGGCACATTCCGGATCCGCTCCTTCCGCCAGCTGGTGTCTGCCTGCAGGGCCCCCAGTTTTCTCCAGTTCACCCCAGGGATCCTGGTGGGTGGGTGAGGGTGGGGGCTTCACCTACCTGGTCGATCCATGGCCCCAGGTTAGGGGAACACTCATAGAGACACAAGTCCTGGATGAAGTGGAGCTTGCATTTCTCTGGCATGGCCCCACAGTGGTCCCAGTTGAAGTTGTACAGGTAGGACTGGTCCTGGTGAGCTTCCAAACTGGTGTTGGCAGTGCAGCAGGCATTGTCCTTCCAGAGGGTACACTGCACCAGGGCAGCTGGGGCTCAGCTGGGACCCATCAGGACCCACCAGGGCTCAGCTGGGACCTGCTGCAGGTCCAGGGGAAGCACCAGTGCCCATGGGTGGGTGACACTGGCTGATGGAATTCATGTTGGGGCACAGAGCCCTCCAGCCTCCATCCTGGTGACCCCACAGCAAGTGACACCAGTGGGAGCTACAGTGCAGTGGATGAGGACCGTACCTGCCCATAGAGCTGCCCCTCAGGGCCAGGCTCTGTTTTATGGTGCTTGGCATCCATGCAGACGTTGAGCAGCGAGTCCTGTGTCACTGTCACTGCTGCAATGGCAGCTGGCCAGGCCACCAGCAGAGCCAACACCGCTGCCATTGCTCTGCCAGGGCAACAGCAGGTCAGGACAGCAGCACTGAGAGACGCAGTTACAGCAGGGACAAAGTCCCCCGCCGTGCACGTGGAAGCGCGGCAGCACATGGTCACCGCCCACGACCACCCACAGTGGGGTCAGGGATCTTACCTGGGGATGCCAGAGGGGATCAAGGCTCTTACCTGGGGGGCAGCTGGGCTCCAGGTGCTGTGGGACGAGCACAGCTCATCTCAAAGGTCGTGGCGCAGCACAACCCGTGGTCGCTGATCACGGGACGTGGGAATGCAGCGGATTGGGCAGCACTGAGGACACGGAAGAGACAGTGCACCCCACCCTGCCACCCCACTGTGTCCTGGATTGACACTCATGCCTATCCTGGCCCCTCATCAGCCCCACATGCAGCTGGGATTCATCCTCCTGGCGCCAGGCTGGGGCCAGCACCAGCCAAAATCTACTTAAGGCTATTTTTCCTTCCCTCCCGTGGGAGGTGGCCTGATTCCTTGACACCAGCACAAGGGGCAGGACCTGGCCCCCCAATACCACAGGGTCCCTGTGAGTCACTGTGAGGCAGGGAACACCACAGTGGGTAAGAGATGTTGCTGGCAGGGACAGGTACCCCTGTGGGGTCACAAATGGCCACAGCATAGAGGCAAGTACCCCTCATGGAATTACAGGTATTCCAGGGAATCACAGGTGCCCCATGGAGGGGGAGCAGATACCCCATCAGCATCACAGATACTCCTCACTGGGGTCACTGGTACCTGTGGGGGGGTCACATACCCACCATTAGTCACAAATACCCCAAAGGGGGCCACAGATATATTTGTGGTGATCACAAATACCCCCTGAGGAGAGTCACAGATGATCCCCATCGGGGTCACACATCCCAGGGGGTCACAGATGTTATGTGTGGTAGATATAATTCGCGCCATTTCTAGTATGATATTAAATATTTGTTGGAGTATACATGTTTGTATTAAATATTTGTGATATTAAATATTTGTTGGAGTATACATGTTTGTATTAGGAGTCCCCCCCCACCCTCGAAGGCGAAACCTGGTGTATGTTTAAACCCGATTTACATGTAAAAGGATGTGGCTCCTCCAGGAGGGATACAGGGACACCCAGGCGCTGATCATTGCGTGGACGACCCGAGATGGACATTATAGAAATATTATAGAAATCCTTGGGCAGATTCATATGAATGCAGCATTCCCATAAATTTCATCAAGGGATTCACCAGCTCCAGGAAACTGAATTGTTCTTCCTCATCACCAAAAAAAAAAACAAAAGAAAATCTCATTAACCTAAAGACTGTGAATGGAAGAAAAGACTGAATGCCAAAATCTTGTCCTCAGGCAGAATTTTCCCTATAAAAACCGCTTGTACCAGGATGGAGTGTGTGGGCATAGAGGAAAACCTCTACTGAGGCTTTGTTGCACACCCAGCACCGACCCTGAGCTCAGCACTGCTCTTTCCTTGTGGCTGGATAGATAGAATCAGATTGCAAAATAAATATTTTATGGTTTTTTATTTTAATTTGGCTGGACAAATGTTAATTTACAACACAGACAGCTCCGGGTCCGGTCACGTCCGCCCGGCCCTCACAGCGGCCCCACAGGGGACGCGCGGTGGGCGGGGCAAACACCACCTGTCAATCAAACGAGGCCACGCCCCCGCCGTTCTCCCGCCGCTCTGCGCATGCTCCGTGCGCCGTTACCGGTTCCGGGTTGCGCTCCGCCGCTGGCCGGGCTGGCGGCCCCGCCATGTCCACGCTGTTCCCCTCGCTCCTGCCCCGCCTCACCGAGCCCCTCTGGTTCAACCTCGACCGGCCGTGCGTTGACGAGACCGAGCTGCAGCAGCAGGAGCAGCAGCACCAGGCCTGGGTGGGCACCGCGGGCCGGGTGTCATGGGGCCGGGGGAGCGGGCCCGGTTCCCTCAGCGGGTACGGCCCTGAGGCAGTGCCCGGGCCGGGGGTTCCTCCGCTGTCCCCGCCTGTCACCGACTGTGCCCGTGTTTCAGCCTCTTGTGCCGGTGTCGCTGCTGCCGTGTCCCTCATCCGTCTGTCACGCTCCCCGTTTTATTGTGCGAGGGTTAATTAATAAGATGCGAGCTCTATATTAATTAATTAACTAATCTCCCCAGGCAGGCAAGGAGCGATTTCTGATCCTGGTGACTGACAAGTGTTGGCGCTGTGAGTGTGGTTTTGTGCTGCAGTGCCCCTGAGTGTGGGGGGAAGAATATCTATTTGATTAAAGTTAAAAAAAAAAAAATCAGTAATTAAGTTTTTATAATTAAATAATAAAGTTTAAATCAATTAAAACTTCAGCACGTAGAAGAGGTTCCAAGTCCCTCTGGGTGGGAGGTGCTGATGTATTTTAATTGAGCTTTAATTATCTGCTGTGGTTGTGTTCATCTGGCTGATCGGATGTCCCAGATTTGTTTATTTTTTGACAAAGAAATACGTAAGCTTTATGTTTGGGCTTCTGATGCCACACATGGGGACACCAGTGTCATTGGGACCAGCCTGCTTGGTGCCAGGCTGTTCAGGCAGGTGTCTGGAGCTGCTCTTCCCTGCTTGGCCAGGAGATGCCAGGCTGGAAATAGGCGTGATCAGCAAGCGCCACAAGCCAGCAGCTGAGCTGAAAGGACCTGTTTGCTGGGGTGTCATGGAGCTGTTGGGGTGCTCACCTGCCTCTCTCTTTTCCCCAGCTCCAGAGCATTGCTGAGAAGGACAACAACTTGGTGCCCATAGGAAAGCCAGCGTCCGAGGTGGGTGTGTGGGCAGGGAACAGGGGGTTGGCACAGGGCTTGAAGGGCAGATGGGGTTGCTGGAGCTGTTGTGTCCACAGCACTATGATGAGGAGGAGGAGGAGGATGATGAAGATGATGAAGACAGTGAAGAGGACTCAGAAGATGATGAAGACATGCAGGATATGGATGAGATGAACGATTATAATGAGTCTCCTGATGATGGGGAGATCAATGAGGTAATAGTGTGAGACCCCAAAGCAGGGGATGTGAAGCATGAGCTCCAGGAGCTGTTTTCTCTCCTTCACACCCTCAATTAAGTTCTTGCACAGGGGGAGATCTTAAACTTCTTTCTTTCCTAGGTGGACATGGAGGGGACAGAGCAGGATCAGGACCAGTGGATGATCTGATTCTGCCACAACCACACCAAACCAGAGGCTGGGGGAGAGCCTTTGCCCCCCACGGCTCTGGGGGACGGTTCAGTGAAGCTCCTCCTTCCATGGGTGCTGCGTGGGGCAACAGGTTCAGAGGGAAGCCCCACAGGGGAACCAGAGGGGAGACTGCCACCTGGCATACTGACACATCATTTCTAATAAACTCAGTTTTCAAGAAAACAACCCCAAATCTGGTGTCTGAGGCCACCAGGGAGGCAGGGGGTACCACCCAGGCAAGTGCAGGGCAGATCTCCCTGTGCAGTGCAGGCGGGAGCACTGCAGGGAGTGAACCCACTCATTGCCCACTGCGCCCCAGCACAAACCACAGAGGCACTGCCTTTTCTCCAGAGCCCATGTTGAAGCCAGGGCAGGGGTTGGGGAGTAACTGGGGCCATCACGGGGCTCAGTGGGTGCCGGTGTAGCGGAGCTCGGCGATGCCATCAGGAATGGCGCGGAAGTACTCCAGGCTGGCACGGTGCACCTTGCAGTGGTATTTGCCGCAGGTCTTGGCGTACTGCAGGAAGTGAGGTGCTCCAGGGAAGAGGACATTATCAGCCAGGATGGTGGCCCCCTCAGCCAGCAGCTGGTGGCTTTCCAGCAGCCGTAGATCCCGCAGGTAGCAGCGTTTCCAGTGGTCCATGAAGACCAAGTTGGCATTCACCAGGCCGTGCTTCTCCCGCAGGCGTGGTATCACCTCCTCCGAGGGGCCCACGATCAGCTCCACCTGTGCTGCATCACCCTCGGTCACTGGGGCAGGGTGGCAGGGTGCCCACCCACCACCCTGCTTTACAGGGTGGCCAGAGGTCCACATGGGACAGGATATTTCTCTTCCCACACACACTGCCACAGCAGGACCCCCACCCATCTCCTCCCCGTTTTCACATGCAGAGCTGGGCTTTATCCCAGTGCCTGGGTGCTCACCGTTTGCTCACTGAAGCCAGCCAGGCGGATGACCTTCTCGGCCACGGCAGCGTGTCGGGGATCCCCCTCGATGGTGTAGAGGCGGGCACCTGGGGGCAGCCCCTGTGCCAGCAGGACGGTGCCATAGCCACAGTACGTGCCCAGCTCCAGCACCCGCAGCGGTGCCCGCTCCAACAGCACCCGCTCCACGATCCGCCCTGACACGGCACGTGCCTCTCAGCACCCACCAGTCTGTGCCACCCCAGCCCTGGGCAGGGCAGAGCTGCCAAGCAGCTCCCAGTGCCCAGAGGGATGGAGGAGAGCCATGCCAAAAATGCCACAGCCAGGTGGATGATGCCATAGCCATACCAACAGCACTGTGCTGGCAGTGCGATGGCCACATCGCTGGTGCCACAATCATGCCAGCAATACTATGGCTGTATCAACAATGCCACTGCCATGCCAATGGTGCTGTGATCACACCAACACCATCACAGCCACGTCACTGGTGTCATCACCATGCCAGCGGTGCCATGCCCTGTGTGGCGTGGAAAAGCAAGGGTGGCACTCACCTTTGTCAGGCCCCACACAGCTGAGGTGCTCACAGTGGTAGCACCACTGATCGAAGGTCTGGAGGATGTGGTGGGGGTCCCCAGGGATGGCGTGGGCCAGCAGGTACTGGAAGGCGCGCTGCTCCCGTGAGGTGCCCGTCAGCCGGTCCCGCAGCCAGGCCACCAGCACCGCCCGGTACAGCAGCACCAGGTAGTGCCGGTACCGGATCAGCAGGGTGACAATGAAGGGGAGGAAAGCCAGGGCAATCGCCGGAGACACCATCACAAGCAGGCGAGGCTGTGCTTTTTTGCACAGTTGCTGAGTTGACTTTGTTAGTTTTGTACTTATCTTGGGAAGTTCTGCACCCTTTGTGTACACTATCAGTAGCATAACCTTGGGCCCAGGCTTTGAAAATCTCTCTGTGCAGATATCATTGAAGAATTGTGAGCCCTTTAACTGTAACAAGGCAAATCTATCTCCTCACAGGGGATGCTGTGGTAGGATGTCCTTCCAGGGTGCCAGCCTCACAGCTCCCAGTCATGCCACAAGTTGGCTGTGCTGTGCACCCCCTGGAAGTACCTCTCCCTGGGCTCTAGTGCTGCTGGGCCTGTAGGGCTGGGGCACCCCAGGATGCTGTAGAGATCCCTGGGGAGTGCTGGGGACCCATCTGCCAGGATCCAGATATTGGGGTTGGCAGGGCTGGCATTCCAGGAAATTGTGCTGCTGTGAGGGGCCTTGTTCAGCACAACCCCTTGCACCCCCCCTTGGTCCAGTTTTGCTGCTCCCATCCCCCATAATCTGCACCTCACACCCTGCTCCCCACACCCTGAGCTGTTGGGGGTGCCCAGCCACAGGATAGGGCAATGGGGGTGGCACCTACCTGTCCCCACACTCCAGGCAGGCAGAGGCACGCAGTCCTGTGTGGAGTCCTGCTGCCACTCAATTATTGATGGTGTCACCGCAGCTGCAGCTGCTCCTGGAGCTCCAGTTACCAGCTCAGTGGGGCTGGGCAATGGAGACGGGGCCAGGCTGGGGCTGGGAGGTGGTTCTGGGCTGCACAAGGGGGCCTGGGACTGGGGTACTGATACTGGAGCTGGGGTGCTGATACTGGAGCTGGAGTCCTGTCCCTGTGCACTGAGAATACTGGAAACACTGGGCAACAGGAGAGCTTCCCTGCTTTCCTCTCCCCTTTCCCACAGCAGCAGGATGGAGAGGAGGCACAAAAGGTAAAGATCTCAGGTTGAGATAAGAACAATTTAATGGCTATAAGAAACTGAACAGTAACAGCAACAATATTAATGACAAGTGGTACAAGAAAAGAAAAGATTCACATAGAAGACCCCCTTCTGACAGCAGATGATACCAGACAACTCCCTCTGGCAATTTACTTGAGTTGGTGTATGACAATGGTGTGCTCTTTGTCCTTGTGGCATACAAACTTGTGGCATACGGTCCTTGTGCCACAAGGACTGTGTACACCGGACATTTGGCCCTAAAGGGGACTTTGTTATTTGAATTCCTACAGTTGACTCAGCCTCCAGCACCACTATTTCTCTCCAAGATACTGGGTACCTTGCTCCATGGTGTTCCACGTGCCTCAATGCACTACTCAATCATCCTTGAGAGATTGCCTTTCCCTCACGCTTGACAGGAGCTGCCTTCAGAGCCTGAGAGTTTTTGTCCTCTTCCCGATGCCCTTGTCAATGTTCACACCCCAGGACAAGGATCCCAGCTGCTTGGCTTCGCTAACTGGCAGCTGGAACCTTTTCCCACATCTTACAGCTCACCTGGGGCCATGGACCAGGTGATTTTCTCTGGCCCTGCCTCCTCCTCCTGTTCTGAGGGCCCTGCTTCGCCATCCCTCACTAACTGGACTGATTTTGTCTTGGATTCCTTCTTCAGCTGCTCCCCTGGTTCAGCTGCAGCTGGTGTGGCCGTGGCTCCTGTTGCTGTTTCCTCCTCCTCCCCTGAGGGTGCTGTCCACAGTCCTCTGGAGCTGACACAGCATCCTCCTTGCAAATATTCTGTCACTTTATCAGAGTCCTGTAGCTGTTCAGGGGTGAACTCCCAAACCACTGGAGCAGAGGATTTCTCAAAAGATTGGCCAGTTTTCTCCCACATTCCATGCCACTCATGGCCATTCCCCCTCGGGACAGGTGTCTGAGTGGCCTTCTTGGAAATCTCTGTTCTGCCTCCAAACGTGACTAAACAGAGTGTGGACTGCACTGAGGCACAGCAGACATAGCAACAAGAACATGCTTTCCTTACCATCCAAAGGGAATTCAAAATTCTCAGAGCCTGAAGGAGGAAAAGGGGGGGAAAGGGAGAAAATCATCCTTCCCCTGTTTCCCCCCACCCAGATTGGGTATGGTTATTAATTGACTTCCAAAGGCAGTGCTGAAGTAAGGGCAGGAGAGCAGCACTGAATACACATCCCACAGTACCCTCATTGCCCTCGATATCATCATGTTATAAACTCACATCCCACAATAGAGCAGCAAAGAAATGCCGATCCTTGTCCCTGCTCCATAAAAGGTCACCCTGAGGAGCACATACAGGAATACATGAGCAGAGCCAGGGTCAGCCATGCCCACATGAACAGCCCAAGCACCATTGTGGCCAGGAGCTCTGGACCTAATACAGCAAATGCTGAGATCACATTTGTTTCCAACCTACTATACTGTTACCTCAACCCTTAGTGCCCCTATATGCTGGGTAACAAACAAGGACAGTCTTGGTTTAGTCCCAGCCAGCAATCAAGCCCAAAACATCAGCTTGCCCATTCCCCCATCAGAAAGATCAGAGAGAGAATTGGAACAGTAAAATCTGGAAATATCGTGGGTTGAGGGGAAGCAAAGACCACACAGACAAGCAAAGCAAAACAAGGAATTGCCCACTTCGCATGGGCAAGCAGGTGTTCAGCTATTCCAGGAGAGCAGGGCCTCATCACATTATAGTTATTTGTGACAACAAACACCATCACTCCAGACATCCTTCTCTTCCTCCTTGGCTGTTATAAATGAAAATTTGTCCAGCCAAATTAAAATGAAAAAATACAGTATTTATTTTGCAATCAGATTCTATCTAGCCAGCCACAAGGAAAGAACAGGGCCGACCCCAGGGTTGGCCCTGGGTGTGCAACAAGGAGTCAGCCTCAGCAGAGGTTTTCCTCTATACCCACACCACCATCCTGGTACAAGGGGTTTTTATAGGAAAAATTCCACCCAAGGCTAGGATTTCGGCAATCAGTCCTTTCTTCTATTCACAGTCCCTTAGTTTGGTGAGATTTCTTTTCTTGGCAAGGAGGTAGAACAATTCGATGTCCGAGTTGGTGAATCCCTTGATGAAATTTAGGGGAACCCTTCATTCACGTGTATCTGTCTGCAGGATGTCCATGATATCCATCTCGGGTCGTTCACACGATGATGAGCACCTGGACGTCCCGGGTGGGTGGGACCCCTAATACAAACGTGTATACTCCAACAAATATTCAATATCACATATATCATACTAGAAATGGTGCAAATTAAATCTACTGCACATAACATTGCCCCCTGGTTCTATTCCGAGCACTGAAGGGAGCCTGGGGGCGCTGGGAACACCAGGACCCCTCAGAGCTCCCTGCAGGAGTGCGCAGAGCATCATTCCCTGTGTCCGTGTGTCTCTGTGTCCATGTGACCCTGTGTCCGCATGTCCCTGTGTGTCCCTGTGTCCGTGTGTCCCCGTGTCCCTGTCTCCGTGTGTCGGTGTGTCCCTGTGCCCGCGTGTCCCTGTGTATCCGTGTGTCCCGTGTCCGTGTCTGTCCGTGTGTCCCGTGTCCGTGTCTGTCCGTGTGTCCCTGTGTCCCTGTATCCCTGTGTCCCTGTGTCCGTGTGTCCCTGTATCCCTGTGTCCGTGTGTCCCCATGTGTCCCTGTGTCCCGGTCTCCGTGTGTTGGTGCGCCCCGGTGTCCCCGTGTCCCTGTACCCCTGTGTGTCCGTGTGTCGGTGTGTCCCTGTGTGTCCGTGTGTCCCCGTCTCCGTGTGTCGGTGCGCCCCGGTGTCCCTGTGTCGGTGTGTCCCTGTACCCCTGTGTGTCCCTGTGTCCCCATCTCTGTGTGTCGGTGTGTCCCTGTACCGCTGTGTGTCCGTGTGTCCCTGTGTGTCCGTGTGTCCCCGTGTCCCTGTGTCCGTGTGTCGGTGTGTCCCTGTATCCCTGTGTGTCCGTGTGTCGGTGCGCCCCGCTGTCCCCGTGTCCGTGTGTCCCCGTGTCCGTGTGTCCGTGTGTCCCTGTATCCCTGTGTCCCCGTCTCCGTGTGTCGGCGCGCCCCGGTGTCCGTGCGTCGGTGTGTCCCTGTATCCCTGTGTGTCCCGGTGTCCCTGTGTCCGTGTGTCCCTGTCTCCATGTGTCGGTGTGTTCCTGTACCCCTGTGTGTCCGTGTGTCCCCGTCTCCGTGTGTCCGTGTGTCCCCGTCTCCGTGTGTCGGTGCGCCCCAGTGTCCCCGTGTCCGTGTGTCCCTGTCTCCGTGTGTCCGTGTGTCGGCGCGCCCCGGTGTCCCCGTGTCCGTGTGTCCCTGTGTGTCAGTGTGTCCCGGTGTCCCTGTGTCCGTGTGTCCCTGTACCCCTGTGTGTCCGTGTATCCGTGTGTGTCCCTGTACCCCTGTGTGTCCCTGTACCCCTGTATCCCGGTGTCCCCGTGTCCGTGTGTCCCCGTGTCCGTGTGTCCGTGTCCGTGTGTCGGCGCGCCCCGGTGTCCGTGTGTCCGTGTGTCCCCGTGTCCGTGTGTCCCCGTGTCCGTGTGTCCGTGTCCGTGTGTCGGCGCGCCCCGGTGTCCCCGTGTCCATGTATCCCTGTGTGTCCCTGTACCCCTGTGTGTCCATGTGTCCGTGTGTCCCTGTATCCCGGTGTCCCCGTGTCCGTGTGTCGGTCCGCCCCGGTGTCCCCGCGTCCCCCCGCCGCTCACGTGACCGCCGTGACTCGCTGCTCACGTGGCCGCGCGGCGGGGCCGGGCCGGGGCCGCGGCGGAGCCGGAGCGGAGCGGAGCGGAGCGGGGCCGGGCCGGGCCGGGCCGCGCTCGCCATGGGCTGCTGCTACAGCAGCGAGGCCGAGGCCTCCGACCAGGTGGGCGCGGCGCCGGGGGGACACGGGCCCCGCGGCGGGGCTGGCACCGGGGGGACGCTCGGCCCCACTGCCGGCGCTTCCCGGTTGCGGGGGGAGGCGGCGCGGTTCCCGGCGGGGCTCGGCCCTTCCCCGCCGCCGGCGGTCTCCGAGCGGGGCCCTCGTTCCTCGCGTGTATCGCCCCCG